AAAAAAAAAGCTTAAATCTGTAAAACCTAGAGTGATATGAAGGATATGACTTTTGAATTAAAATGAATCACAAGAGAATACTATGAACAACTAAATAACAACATAAAATTAACTGGGTGTTAAGGTTACCTAAATACCTAGCCAACCATGGTGGCCCATGGCTATAATCCCAACATTCCAGCTGAGGCAGTAGGATCCTACAGTTGAGGTTAGCCCAGACTATTTAATGCCACCTTGTGTTTTAAAAAAAGAAAATGGGAAAGAAGAAAAGAATTCGTAGAATGATACAGAGTACTGGAATTGGAATTGACTCAAGAAGAAACATATTTCTGCTGTTACTGCTGGCGATGATCTCAGGGAAATAGAGGCATACTTGAAGAGAAGTCAACAGCCAAGCGTCTTCATTGGTGAGTATAACTAAACATTTAAAGAAGAATTAATAACAAAATTTTCACAAACTTGTTCAAAAATTTTCACAAACTTGTTCAAAAATTATCTTGTGTACATCACAAGAAAGTCCAGGCTAACATCTCATATGAATAAAGTGCAAAATTCCTCAACAAAATTCTACCAAACTGAATTCAGGAATAAGTAAGAAGGATTATATAGCAAGACCAAGTAGGATTAATCCTAGGAGTACAAGATTGTCTTAAAAATCTAGAATCAGCATATTGAATCGTAGAATAAAAGACTATATGGTCTTCTAAATAAACATAGAGAAGGCATTGGCTAAAACTCAGCATTCATTTGTGATGAAAAACATCCACTAAAACAGGCAAGGAAGTGGATTTTTCAACCAGTTAAAAGCATATATGTAGAAAAAAATGAAACAAAACCGCACAGTGAACATAGTACTTAGTGATGAAAGACCTTTCTTCTAAAATCAGGAACATGAAGTGAATGTCCATGTTTACCACTTTATTTAACATTGTAGGATGAGAAAGATTACTAAAGGCCTAGAGACTGCAAAGTAGAAAGAAAAACTTTTATGATGATGTTTATGATCTTATAAAGCCCTAAGGAGTTCATTAAAAATATTAGAATCAATAACCAAGTTAAGCAAAGTTGTAGGACATAAGAGCATCACACAATTAAGTTTTGATATTCTTGCAGTGAACAGTCTGGAAAATAAATTAAGAGAATAATTCTGTTTAGCTTAGACTAAAAAGAATAAAACATTTGGCAATAAAGAAGTATAAAACAACACATTGTTGAAAGGATGAAAGTGACCTAAGGAAATGGAAAAGCATAACATCTTAATGGAATGTCAGAGGTGGCAATATTCCTAGATTGAATATCAGATTTAGTATACATCCCTTCTCAAAACCTCAGTCATGTCTTTGTAGAATTACCAAGGTGTTCTCAACATTCAGGTGGAAACTTGAAAGGGCAGAGGAGAACTGCAATAGTTTTGAAAAAAGAACAAAGATAGGAGATTCATTTCTTGATTTCAAAATGTATTGTAAGCCAGGGTCTCACACTTGTACACCTGCTACTTGAGAGATAGGAAAGAGAGGTGCTTGAGCCTAGGAGTTGAAGGCCAACCTGGTCAATAGTAAGACTTTACTTAAAAAAAAAAAAAAAACTATAATACTATTCTGATTGTAAAAATGTGACTTCAGTGTAAGGGTAGACATATAATTGATGTGGTCCATAGAGTAGAACCAAGAGTCCAGAAATCCTCACATTTACAGTCAACTGGTTTTTCAGCAAGTGTAACAATGATGAATAGTTTTTCAATAGTTCTGGATCAACTGGATAGCTATATGCTAAAGTATGAAGTTGGGCTATACCTCAAAACATAAATAAAAGTAAACTCCAAACTAAATGGATCAAAGACTAATAGACCTAAAACTGTAAAAGTCTTAGACAAAAACATTGGCAAATTTTTGTGGCATTGATTCTGTAATAATTTCTTATGTATGACATCAGAAGCACAAGCAGCCAAAGGTAGATAAATTGGAATTTCTGGGACTTGGGGGCAGTTAAATTGATTAGGGTAGACACTTCACAAGTCTGAATAAACAAACAAAAAATAATTGAATTTTGTACTTGAAGTGGGTGAATTCCTGGTGTGTTAGCTGTATCTAAAAAACAAAACAGTCAGTGAGAGTGAAAACTACTTTAATGTATACTTCACAGCAGACGATGTTAAAAATGTTCAGTGGGTCTTTTAAACATGCTAAATAACACTATATATTCAGAAAATCGCAATTGAAACTATAATGTGCTACATGCCAAACAGAACCAAGACTGAGGATGGCAATTGGTTGGCTTCTAGAATCTCACTAGCTTCTACTGGGTCTGCTTTTAATTACAGCACTTTGATGTTTTTTCTGCTGACTTAGTGGCTACAACATGAATATACTGATATTTTAATTATCAGATGCTACCCCACAGCCCTTCAGTCAGTGCCACTCAGGCTGTGGCCTGGTGGGGCTTCTGGGCCAATGGCTCTGGCTCTGCCATGGACGTGATATGTAGGCTTAAATGAAGTTTATCATTCTGTTTATCAATAAGACTCAGAAGTCAAAGGCTGGAGTGGAAACTTGCTAGCTCAGAGAGTCTGAATAGCAGCTAGTTGACCTTGCTTTTTGGCCAGAGACACAGCAAGAGACATGTCTCTTCTCTCCTCCCAGAACCAAGAGAGCTCAAACTCCAGTCCCTGCTCTTTCCTTCCTGTGCATCTTCTCTATCCAAATTGCTGGCTTCTCTGTGGCCAATTCTGGTCACCTAGTCACTAGCTTTTGATTCAAGGTATTACTTTATTGAACAGTCTTAGGAGTGTCAGAATGCAATCAAAAATATCCCACAACAGCACTTATTCTAAGTTCTGCTGTTAGATTTCTTGGCCTGCCTCAGTTTCTGCTTTACCACTGTTAAAGCATTTATGACGGGATAGAATTCCCTATAAAGTACATAACATATACCTATAAAAAGTACTGATTGTTATGAATGTCTCAACAATCTATCCCAGAAGTAGGAAAATAGGTAACTTGATTATTAAGCTTGTCTTCTTGGATTTATAGTTTCTTTTTCTTAAATCTCCCCAGCAATGGAAAAGCACTTCCTATGCCGCAAGCAACAGTAACCCAAGCAACAGTAATTCACAAATAGTTATTGTTTCTGTTTAATAGATAAAGAATTAGAAATCAGAGACTTAACTTGCTTACAACACAGTAGAACCATTTGGGTCTCTCAGTTACAAAGCTCTCCTTACTCTATTGTGTCACATTGTCTCTGAGATGGGAATATGCTGGAGGGTTTTTTGTTGTTGTTGTTTTGACTTTTGTTTTACACTGGACTGACTTTTGGAGTTTAGTGATTGTTTTCAGAGAGGGGACCCATCATTGACGGGACAACAAGAGAACATAATGGGGCAAGGAATATGAGCAGAGTTCATGATACATGGAAAGATGTCAGAATGAAACCCAATATTTTGTATGCTGACTAAAAATAACAGCAAAGATGCACATATAAAACAGCAGTAAAAATTAATTTTTATTAAATTAAAAAAATCTATTGAGTGCTGCAGCAGGCATTTGTAGTAGGTGTGTAGTATGGTGACTATATTGGTCTTGATGCTTAAAAATGCATGTAGCAGAGAATGGAGTACAACTAACATTGGGAATACAGTAAGATAATTACATTGATAAAAAGTCTCTAGAACTATTGTGATAACATGAGGAAGAGGTTGGCTCTGTTGAAGTTGGCCATAGAAGATGAAGTGATTGATTCGCACTTTTGAGACCATGTGGGAATTTGACCATTCATATATTAGTGAAGAAATATGTGCTGTGTTTACATAAACTTAGGCCTAAGTAACTAACTACTTAAATAGAAAAATTCATTGTTCATTTGTAGGAATATTGTGTTCTTTTTAAATAATTAGCTTTGTGTTCAGATAAATTAAAAACCCTTGCCAAAATACAGAAGCCTTACAAAGGAAATGTTCTTTGTGGTTAGTCTCCGATGAAATTAGAGTTTAATTTTTTTAAAATTATTGTCCTTTACAATTTTAAACATTTTATAATATTAATCTGTTATTACCTAAATTCATCCATATTCAGGTCTTCAAGTGATATCTTAATACTAATGATCAGCGTTTCTTTTTTCCCCAGTTAGTCAATTCCCCTTTTTACTTAAGCTATTTTGTCTCCTCTTTCATTATTTCCCTGTGATAATAGGGTAAACTGAAGGAAAATGAAATCTTTGGGTTTTGAATACTTTCATTCAGCCATGTTATGCTGCTTTTACTCTGTGTTCTTTTTTATTCCATGCTGTATGGAGCCATAAGAATGTTACCTGCTGCCTAGAAATACATTCTTTTAAAGTGTGCCCAAACAATTCTGGAAAAAATCTTTTATATATTTATGTATTTATTTATTTTTATATACATTAGTGTCTTGCTTGCAAGTATGTATGAGGGAATCAGATCCCCTGGAACTAGAGTTACAGATAGCTGTGAGCTGCCATGTGGGTGCTGGGAATTGAATTGGGTCCTCTCAAAGAGCAGCCAGTGTTCTTAACCCCTGAGCCATTTTTTCAGCCCCTGGAAAATAATTTACAGGTCTTAATGATTGGTAGCCATTGCATGTGGCAAAATAGGCATTTGCTTGTGTTTTGTTTGGGGTTTGTGTGGGATTTTGGAGGGGGATGGTTTGGTCATCATGTGCCTGATGTTTAATACTCTACAGTAAGTTACACACTGGTGGCAGAAGTCTCTGATATGCCGTCTTTGGAAAACTATTCTTAAATCTGTGTGGATTTTGTGTTGTAGTTTTAATGGTGGTACTCTTTGCACATTCATTTGATTGGTTTAGGATGATCATTGTATTAGGAAATTGTATGACAATATGAAACTAGTAATACTTGCTATGAAACTGCCATACACTGAGAGTTATGCAAAAATAATGGTTAACCCAAAGTGATTAAAAGGAGTTATTTTCTTTCATTTATGAATGCAAGCCAAAGAAAGAAAAAATATATTTCGTTTTTAGATTATATAAATGGTGGAGAACTTTTTACTCATCTTTCTCAAAGAGAGCGTTTCACAGAGCACGAAGTGCAGATCTATGTTGGAGAGATTGTGCTTGCCCTGGAACACCTGCACAAGGTAAGGTGCTTCATCTTTGGAGTTTGCTTTTGAACAGTCTGTTAATGAGGTGTTGATGGAGCTGAACAAGTTGATGTTTTCATAGGTTGTCTTGGGGGTTGTGAATGTTACTGTATTCTCAGTGTCATAGTTTCTTTCTGAAAATGTTTACTTTTTGCTGGACATGGTTCAGCATTCCTAGAATTCCAGCACTTGGGAGGCTGAGGCAGGAGGATCATGAATTGAAGACCAAATTGAGTTACAAATCGAGACTCCCAACTCATAAATGAACAGAAAGTAAATCTTGTCTGTTTTGTTTTGAAACATCAAACAAGCAAACAAAAAGAACCTGAGCTTTTTTTCTCTTTGTTGGTCTTCATGAAAAAAACCCTAGTACTTTGTTTATTATAAAATATCATCTGAATAAAAGCTGTTGGTTGTTAAAATGAAGCCCCAAGTTGTAAAATGTATTTTCTTAATTGTGACTTGTTCCATGGAACGATCCATCTGTCTGTTCTCAGAGGGCACTTCCTGATTTTGCTGCTGGTTCGGAGTTATTTCCCTCCCTCCTGTGTTAGCTTGCTTCTGCATCTGTCCTACTCTGTTCCTCCTCATTGCCTCCAAGTGACATGAGCTCAGGTACTGAAACCTTTACCTGGACATTGTATCTATGATCCTGTTGGAACTATATACAAATCAGTTTAGACTTGTATTGTTTATTGCAGATATTCTTAACCTTGACTGATGAAATTTTGACTTAACTTAATTATTGGAGAAGCAGACTATTCCTGTGTTGTCTCAGTGTATGTGGTTTTCTTCAGAAGTAGAAAATGCTGAAGTAATTTATATCAAAGGTGTGCAAGTTCATAAAGGAACAGTGTGATTTGAGTCACTAAATTTCAACAATTCAGATATGAAGCCACTCTTTGCCATGTTTGTCATCCCTCTCTTAGCTTAAGATAAACAGATTAAAGTATAAGTATGCAATACAGAAAAAAGGGTGAATTGAAGAAAAATGGTAAGGAAGACATCTTAAATGGGCTGGAAGTTTTGATCAGAAATTGAGTCAATGGTGGAGATGGTAGGTGAGAAAGACTAAGGAAGGATTCTAGAAGGTAAAAGAAAATAAATCGGGAGTCAAGAAATGGTTGGTCCAACCCAGAACAGAAACAAGTCCTGGCAGAAACACCTGTCCTGACAGGTGGAGGGAGATGGTTAGAATCTTTAGAAAATTTTAGCACCTGGGAGCTTTAGGTTGTGATTTGAGAGCAGCTTGGTTTTCTGTAATGAGACTCTGTCACAAATGAAGAGTGAATAAAAATATCTGAGAAGCAGGAAGAGAAGAAGAGTGGGAACAGTAAATGACCATTTGTGCTGCTTTGGATAGAATTTTCACTATGGTGACAAGCTTCATGCCTGTGCTTGCTTTTGTGCGATATGATATAGCTTAAACATCTTTATATCAGAAATATTACTATCCAGAACAAGCTACAAAACTTTTGAAGCTTATAATTAGATATAATGTTTTAAAATATAAAAACAGCAGTAAAATTCACCTGAAGCACTAAAGTAAAAATAAAACACAAAGCCAAATGGGTAAGCTAGGAAACACAGTCTGTAATTTATATAATACTTTAATTCTGTTCATTTTGTTCTACTAAAGGAAGATTCCATGTTGCTCTTTATTACTAAACTAATAAAACATGGATATAGAGAACATAATGGAACTGAGAATAAATGTGATAGCTATGCAATGAAAGCACTATAGCAAATGATTTCTCAGCTGCCTTACCCTAAAAAGACACACACACACACACACACACACACACACACACACACACACACACACAACAAGCAATATTCATTTTAATAAAGATACTAGTGCTAATTCTTATAGGAAGAGATAAAAGTACAAATTTATTTGGAAGTGATGAAGTAAATTGGATAGTAAATAATTTGTCTCTAAAATTCTTTTCCAAGGAGGTTGCTTAAATGCAAAGTGCTGCTAGTTCTTAAGTAAATGGAATGCTTCAAGTCAAATGTTTGTGTGGTACACACTCTTAAGTGTTTTCCTTCCTATTTTTCTTCTAAACCACTGAAACTTTCATAGGAAAACTTCCTACTGTTTTGTTTTGCTTTTTGTTATTGTTGTGTTTTTTTGAGGGGGTATACTTTTATTTCAGTTTTGAGAAATTATTAGGAATCTTTTTCCTGTGTTTGATGTTGAGAAAAACAATATTTTAAAATATCAAAGCACATAATCCATGCTGATATAACTGAAAACATGAAGTAGAAAGTTGAGGTGGGTCAGACACCTCTTAGATCTTTGTTCCATGGTTGAAATATTTTACTATACTGCTTACATGAAAAAACAAAATAAAGAGACACACATTCTTGAACTGTATAACATTTCTCTCAGTGATGGGCCATACATTTGCCACTGATCCCATAAGATTGCAGTGGAGCTGAAAAATTCCTGTCACTTGGTGGTTATGTAGCTGTCAAAATGCTGAACTTGACTTCCTCCCTGTTTATGTGTTGCTGGTGTAAATGAACCCGCTGTGCTACTACCACTCATGTAATGATAATGTAACACATGTCATTGTGTACAGCAGAGGAAAACTTGATCATGGTCAAAAGCCAAACATGCTTCTGCTTTATACATTTAATATATATTTTAATCATCATTTTAGAGGGCTTACTATAAGACTGTCTACTGTGTTTCAGTGGCAACAGCTTCATACATCTCATGTTTACTCTGTGGTCATTTTTTTACTACACCACCAAGGTTTGTGTAAGTATACTCCATGATGCTTGTACAGTCAAAGTCATCTAACAGCATACTTCGAGAACATATCCTTGTTGTAAAACAATGAGTGACTGTATAAATGTTATTGAATGATTTGCTTTGCTGATTTAGAAGTAAACATCAAAATTAACCTATGCTCTTTAACCTTTATGCTTCAGAGTGTTCTTTAAAAAGTCCTTATTAATTGCCTTTCTGACACAATGCATTATACAGGATATAAGATAAGTGCATAAAATCTGAAAAAGCAGACAGTGTAACTATATTAAGGTAAATGGCAAATAGCTAGAAAATATTAGTAATTTGCAGGTAAGTACATAGTGTGAAAACAAAAATAAATGATCAGCATAGGATATGTCTCCTTAGGAAGGTTTGCTGAAGCCATTACAGAGTTATGGGCAAGAATTGGCCAAGAAGGACTATGAAGGTAATTTAGAGTAAGTGTAAAATAAGGAGAATAGAGACAGAAGGGGGCAATAGTCAGTGGGGAGACCTCAAAGAAGCTGGTTCCAGGGATAGACCCTCATCACACAGAAATAAAATACATTTGGAGAGCTTTGGGAAAGCCAGCATTTGAGCCTCAAGATGGAGCATTTGCTCTCAGAGTTGCTAAGAGCCTCAGAATCCTGAAGAGGAACCTTCTCAAAGGTAGATAAATGCTGTCTTAATTGATTTGGAAATTATCTTAAAATGTGTTTTGTTTTGTTTTTACAGTTGGGGATTATATACCGGGACATTAAGCTTGAAAATATTCTACTTGATTCTAATGGCCATGTGGTGCTGACAGATTTTGGTCTGAGTAAGGAGTTTGTGGCTGATGAAGTGAGTATTATATTTTAATTTGAAGTTAGTTACAGCAGAATGCAAACAAGGATGAAAAATTAGTTACCAATAAACATTTAATAGGACAGTAGTACCATGTGGGTTACAGATTTTTGTGCAGATTTGTTCAAAGGAATGTTTGGATATGAATGGATTGTTGAGATTTTTAGTTTAAAATTACCATGGGACCATCCTATTAGAACCACAGTAAACCTTTCAGGGATATAACAGACTTCTCCACTTTGACATTGTACACTTAGCTTCTCCATAAAATGTGTCAGGTACAACTAATACTTAAAATAACCCCTTTTACCCTTGAGGAGAATGGCTTGGGTGGTAATCAAAAAGAATCTGAAGAGAAACACATTTAGTATACATTGTAATTACCAACTAAGGCCTGTGTGATGACCCTCAGAGTTCACTGGGAAGGGTGACAGGACCTACTAGATCTAACACTTTAATAATCTTGCTAGGCTTTGCTTAGACTGAATTAAAATGTAGTAGCTAATGTGTTGACTGTAGATATGGATAGAAGGTCTCACATTTATAGTGTTAGTAAGGAATTGTTTAATATCACAGATACCTCCAATTGCATTTAAAGCTGTATGTGCACTAATTATAATCAAGTATTATTTTTATGTAGGAATTATGATAAAGTTTTATTTCTAAGTACTAATTATTCAAAAGAATTGTTAGTTTGGGGTCCAATTTTGTTTCTATCCAGAAAATTATTGGTGTACAACATAGAATCATATTAAGAGTTTTGTAGCCAGGTGTGGTGAGGCAAACCTTTAATCTCAGCACTTGGGAGGCAGAGGCAGGTGGATTTCTGTGAGTTTGAGGCCAGCCTGGTCTACAAAGTAAGTTCTAGGACAGCCAGGGTTGTTATACAGAGAAACTAAAACAAAAGGAGTTTTATAATACAGGACTTGACTGAATAAAGCACATCATTATTGTGTTCCAAATTAAGTATAGGTTGAGCAATCCTAACCTGAAAAGTTTGAGTGCCAACATAATGTCACAAATGAAAAATGCCATACCTACCATCATGCGATGTGCCACAGTCAAAACACAGACACACAATATAGTTTATTTGGTGTCTCTGAGGAACAAGTGATTATCAATTGTGATCCATCTTTTGCTTGAACGCCTAGGTCCCCAGTGCAGACCCCTGGCCCATAGAAGGTAGTAAGATCAGATACATACAGCTTCATGTACAAGAA